TTGTGTCCCATGTCCTTTTCTGATACCTGCACATCTAGTTTAGCAGTTCTAATTTTTTGCAATTCCTTTCATAGGGGAGAATTTTCCCCAAAGAATGTATGTTGTTTGAGTAGGACACTTTGGCTTTGGTTTTTGATGCCTTTGTTAGTGTGATCTTTGTATGATTCCTTTGGCAGTTCACAGGGTCAGTGATATCTATGATTTCATTGGTGACTTAGGGTACAATTATTATTAGAAGCTGTGATGAAGTTTTGCCAGATACTTGGATACCAACTGAGATAGTCTTTGGGATACAGCGGTGGCAGAAGTGGGCCGAATATACGTGGTTTTAGGCTCCAGAGCGTCTTACAAATGCACCAGTGTTAGTGGGTCCTGAAGAGCTGATTCTTGAGCCTCCATGTGGCTTGCTCAGGAGCCAGTAGTAGGAGTGGTAGGCCAGGTGTGTACATGGGTTCTCAGAACCCTAGGAAGCCGGTGTGATGTGGTTAATAGCAACAGTGGTGGTAGAACAACTCATTGTGGCCGAAATGGTCTGTGTTGGTGTTGCTTATAGCTACAATGGGTTAGGACCCTCTCAGGCAAGCAGTGTGGGCAGGAAGCTGCAGTGAGTATGGTCCACTTGAATCTCATTCTCATAGCAGTCCTGTATAGGATGGTGGGTATTGTCACAGGTATGCATATAAGAGCCTGGTTTTCTGTTCCTTCCTGGCAAGGCAGCAGCTGCAGTTATGTCAGTCTGAACTCAGCCCAAGAGCAGGCCACACTCCAATATTAAATGTTCAAAATGGTACCTTGGGCCTGCAACCAGAGAGGATGGGCAAGTAGTGTGGGCAAGAAGCTGTGGGCAATATGGTTCACTTGCATCTCATTCTCAACAGCAGTCACAGTAAGACAGTAGTGACCTTCCTGGTGGTACACGAGAGTCTTCAGTCTCCTCCCTTTCTCCTTGGAACTGTGCAGCTCAGTCTGTAGACCCCCATTACCTAAGCTCTCAGAATGGTGCCTAGCTGAAGCTGCTCTTGGCTCAGATGCCTGTGGGATTCCACGTGGGTTCGTTTTCTCAAGCAGTATCTCTGTGCAATCTCTGGGCAGCTCCCTGTGGTAGGCCTTAGGTTGAGGGATTCTCCAGTAGCCAACACTGAAAAAGCCCAGTTTTGAGTGTGGAGACTGGAAATTTCTCTTACCGTTTTCCTGCATCTTAGAGCATCTCTTGGCCCTCAGGAAGCCTACTGGGAAATTTGCCTGAATTCTCTTCCTACCTATTTTTGGTGCTTCCTGTCACTTCTCTGGTGAGTCCTAACATTCTCTCCTAGATGATATATTTAAAATGTGAGTATTTACTCACTATTCTCATTCCTTTCCATGGAAGAGGCATATATTACTTGCATCCAGTTGGCCATCTTAATCTTGCTTTCAGATATTTTCAGTTTTACTTTATAGTCTGCCCTCTGTCTCCATGTGTTTGGCATCTGCAGACTCAACCAACCATGGATCAAAATCTTTGGAAAAATCAATAAAAATAATAACACGACAATAAAAAATGATAAAAAAAGCATAACAGCTGTTTACACAGCATTTATATTGTATTAAATATTATAAGTAATATCTTGATGATTACAAGTCTATGGGAGTATGTGCATAGATGATACTCAAATACTATGCCATTTTATTTCAGGGACTTGAGCATCCTTGGATTTTTATATCCCTGGAGGAAAGGGTCCTGGAACCAATTTCCCTTGAATATTGGGGGATGACTATTTATTTGAGGGTTCACGTGTTCTTAATTTTATACAATTTTATCAGTTATGTAGGTTTGTCTACATCAGTTATGTAGGTTTGTCTACAATCAAAACATGAAACAATGACATCACCAGGATAAGAAGTCCTGTTGTTCTTTCATAATTACTTCCATCTCCCTTCCTCTTCTATCCTGTCCCTAAGGTCTGGAAACCACTAATCTATTCTCCATCTCTATAATTTTGTTATTTTAAAAATGCTATATAAATGGAATCATACAGTGTGTAACCTTTTAACACTGACTTTTTCCACACCACATAATTTCCTGCAGACTTATCCAAGTTGTTCATGTATTAATAGTTTATTCTGTTTTATTGCTGAATAGTACATGCATTACATGATAGCAACGCATCAGAGTCATGTTCTTTAAAGAACATCTTGGTCATTTCTAGTTTTTGCCTACTATGAATAAAGCTTTCATAAACATTTGCATACAAATTAATGTGTGAGTATACATTTTAATTTTTCTGGGATAAATGCCCAATACTCCAATTGCTGAGTTGTATGAGAAATTAATACTTAGTTTTGTAAGAACCCAACAAACTATTTTCCAGAAAGATTGCATCATTTTGTGCTCCCACCAGCAAAGTATATGTATTTTACCACAATAAAAATATTTGGAAAAAAGTGTGAAAATATTGGTAACATATGTGGAGAAAAATACCTGCTATCAGTAACACAGGCAGACTACAGGACATATGATAAAAGTTTCTGAGAGGCCTCACTGCAAATTGCAGCTTGGGATGGATGTGTTTTCACTGTGTAGTCTCCAAAAAGAAAGATAAAACAAGAGGAAAGTGTCAGTAGTTCTGTTACTTATTTTAAATCCTTATTCAGAGTTATTTGATGCTATACCTAGTTTAAATCTTCACATGATTAGGGGGGTTTTCACAGACTGGGCTGAAGAGGCCTTCCATAGTCTGCCTTTCACAGATCCCCAAATCTTGGGTTAAGTGAAAGCTCCCCTAGCTTCTAGCTTGAGAGAGGCATTTTAGAACCATCTAGGAAGCAGAGTTGGAGCCGGAAGGCATTTCATAGGCAACTTCAGGCTGAAGAGCCTCCTGGTAATTTAGTTCTCATGGAGTTTCAAGGTTCCAGCCAATGTGGCGGGCAGGCCTCGACGGAGGAGCCTGTTGAGGCATTTCTGGGATCACACTGGGCGTTCCTCTCTGGGAATCCTGCTTCAAAGCCTCCTCTTCAAGCAGCTTCATGTCCTTCTGCATGAATACATTCTTGTATGAGGAAAGAGTTTTGGAAATCAGTTCCTAAATAAAAAACAAACAAACAAATAAAGCAGAAAAGTGATTAGTAGAGACAGAAACAAATGCATCTATGGCAAGAACACAATTGTGCTATTCTCGTGTGCAAGACTTAGAACCACTCTGAAACATACTCACTCTAGCAAAGCATTAAACCAAGTCACGTAGGGTCAAGAGGATTTACCAATAATTTAACTGCCTGCCAGAACAAGACCCAATACCTTTTAAAGACAACAACATAATTTACCCAGGCCCTATAAAAATCATTGATAGTGTTCACCATACCAGTAATTATGAGACACTTGATGAATTTGGAAAAGGTGAACCATAATCTGGAGAAAAAGTATTTTATGAAAGAGACCCCAGGCTCAGCACCTGTAGCTCAACTAGAACAAAAAAATAGCCGGGCATTGTAGTGGGTGCTTGTAGTCCCTGTTACTTGGGAGGCTGAGGCAAGAGAACCTCTTGAGCCCGAGAGTTTGAGGTTGCTGTGAGCTGTGACACCAAGACACTCTACCAACAACAACATAGTAAGACTCTGTCTCAAAAAAAAAAAAAAGAGACCCCAAAATGACATAGATGATGAAATTAGCAGATAAGGTCTGAAACAGCATTATATTTTCCAAAATTTAAGGGTAAAAAATAGACATAGTGAGTTAAAGTTAGGGTATACATAATATTACCAAAGAAATGGAAATTATATAAAAAAAAAGTAGACAGAAATTCTAGAACTGAAAAGTACAATATCTGAAATGAAAAATTCACTGAATCATTGGCTACTGCCAGAAGAAGGGGCAATAAACTTGAAAGCAGATCAATAGAAATGATCCAAACTGAAGCACAGAGAAGAAAAGATTAAAACAACGATCAGAGCCTCAGTGATTTATGAGACAATGCCAAACAGCCTAATGTGCAGGGAATTACAGTCCCTGGCTGAGGTCAGAATCCTTGGAATTCAGGCTCTGCTGATCACCTCCACCCCAGTCTTTGTCGGGAAGTCGCAGAGGTCCATTCTACAATGACTCCGTGGGCACCGCAGAGACATCTGTGGAGTACTTGTCGGCAGGATCTCTAAGACCCTTCTAACTTCAAAGTATTAAGTTTATGCACAAGTATCTCTTGATTCTATGAAGATGTATTTCGCAAATATTTGTGTGGCCCAGATCTTTATAAACAACAGGAATTGCTTCTGCTTTCTGAGTTAGAAACAAAATTATGGTTTATTTCCTCAAAACTGCATCTACTTAATGAAATGAAGGGAATACAAGGACAAACTTTGCCAGTCTACTCCCAAGCCTGACTCAGAGGCTACACCTCCCCCCTCCCAATTATTCTTGATTCCTATAATGGGATGTGCGCTCTACCTCACAGAGCTCTATGTTTCCATTCTTCTTTGGACACATCCACTAGAGTAGTAGTAAATATCCGGTATTCAGAGGCTTTCTAAGGTGTGCGCAAAGATGGTTTTAAGAGATGAAGGAAAAATCTTGCATAGCTTTGGGTGCTTGAAAGTCCATCAGGTAAAACAGCAGGCCTGCTGAACCTTCATGCAACCATGCTAGATCAGTTTGCAACCAGGTTCCCCAACACTTAGGACACAAGCTTTGAAGGTGACCAATAGTAAGGGAGAGTTTGTAACCATCTCCAGTCAATCAGAAACCAGAACTTGGATTCTTATCTTATTTGATATACATCTGCTTCTTTGTCCTTTATCCAGCCCTGTCAAAATTTTACTCGGAGAGTAACTCACCTCTGAACATTGGCGCTCAGCCTTATCAGGTAAGAAATACATTCAGTTTTCTTTTAGATCATGCATGAGTTCTCTTTATTTCCTTCTAACAGAGAGAATCAATTTCCATAACCTCAGCTTGTATAAGAACTCTTTCCAAAAACCAAGAACTTGCACTTGATCTGGGCATTATGCTGGCTCTCCTTCCCTATCCCCCTTTACCAATGCCTTTGTCTCACACTTGGCAAAAGAATAAAGTATCTTTTACTTATCTAAATCCTGCTAAGGAAGTTTTTGTTGTTGATCAAACCTAGGGTGACCAGACGTCCCGCTTTTGAGCAATTTGTCCTGCGTTCCACGGCATTTTAAAAAAGTCC